ATAATGGTAAAAGTAAATCGTTTGTTTGAGGATGAATTCGTAACGAAAATTTTACAAATATACTTGATTTAGTCTTAAAGTATGTTTACATAGGAAATGTAGCAACGAGAAGGGAAACCAAGTTTATTTTTATTTTTTTGCTTTTAACTAATAGTGAAGCTTATTTCTGACCACATTAGCTTCCATAATTTGTTTGTATCCATTGCTTATAACTTGGACACTATAAGCGATGGTGTGGTGTGATGTCAAGTTTTGAGTTTTTGACTTGTTATATTTTGTCTGCTGCTGCATTTCTGATTTGGAACTATTTCTCGGGCTCTATTGAGTGCAATTGGGGGTTGGAGAGAAATCCGCAACCGTTTTCATTTTCAGGTGAGTTTTTTCTCCAACTTTGGAATTCATTGGCTCTCTTAAGTCTTAAGTGTTATAAATTGTCATGGATTATATCTTGATATGTCATGACTTTGTTCAAGAGGAATAATATTAATCTGTCACAAATCGACTATAGGGATGATTGGTTGTAACTTAAAAAACTTTTGGTTGTAGACTTTTATTTTAAAAATGACTATGGAGGTGCTTGACAAGTGTCTTTTAAGTCTTTCAATGTAGATTTTTGTTGTAGACTTTTGGCTGCAGAGATTTTGGTTGTAAATATTGTGATTGTTACTTTAAATATTAATAAAACTCTGTTTGGTAATGGAAACTGTAGAAACTGTGGCATTTATTTTAATAACTAGGGTTGGACTCGCGCAACGCGCGAGTTTGGTTTCTTTTGATTTTCTTGTGCTATTTTCCTATGTTTTGTACCTATATCATGTATAGAGTGTATTGGTAAGTATTTATGTTAGTATATAAGTATCTTTTTTACATTCATTAACACATTCTAATATCATATGGTTAATTATCAATTTGGGTGTGAAAATTTGTTCAAAACAAAAAAAATTCTTTCAATTTGGCATTGATTTTTAAATAAATATTTTTTAGATTTTGAGAATTAATTATTATATTCATTTATTGCAATATAGCTCCATCCAATCTTCTAACATATTCTAACTATAATCGTGCAATGCATAGATCAATGGATTTACTTTTATCATTTTTTTTAAGACACTAATATATCTATAGAAAGTTAATTTATACATGATATTTTTTTATGTTTTCTTAAACACTGAAAATTTATATTTTCTAGATTTTTTTGGGCTAAAAGCATTGTTTCAAATATTAAATTATTAAATATGTATTTTTCTTGGATTATGGTGTAGAGC